GTGACAGAACGAGACTCCATCTTGCGAAAAGGTTTAAAATGCTGACAACCAGTGTTATCCGGAGTTCAAGGGCATGTCTCACAGTTAGCCAGTGAAGGGAGGAGGGGGGGTCAATACAGCCTGTCTGAAGAGAGAGAAATGAAGTAATAGCAAAATCATTAAGTGTTTATGATTCATAAATACATATAATTTTTGTCAACTAAAAAAAATTTAAAAATAAAGTTTCTATGATTCAGAAATGCTACCTTTAGAAGTCACCATAAGAGTACGCATGAAAAGGATATATGGGTCAAAGTGTTTGCAGCAGTGTTGCCCTAAATAAGGAAATTTTGCAACATTGTGGGGTGGTTAAAATAACTATAGAATATGCATCAGAATACAGTGAAACCATTAAACATCGTGTGGAAGAATGTTATAGATATAGGGAAATGCTCATAATATATAGTGACGATTTAAAACGCAGATTACAAAACCATATGCCAAGACGTGATTTCTGCCCAAGTCACCCTGACGGGCCAGCTAACCAAGGCTGCTGCACTGTGAGGGCGTAGGGGCTCCCCACACCCACGATCGGGGTCCTCAGGAAAGACATGTGAGTGTTTCCTGCTCATCCTACAGACGAGCTCACAAGGACCCTGGATAGGGGAGTCCTCTGAGGTTGCGGGAGCTGCTGCAGCCATCTTGTCACTAGGAAAGAGCTTTCTCTAAGGGGGAACGCACAGCGGAGGAAAGCAGAACTAAGAAAGACAGAGAAAGCGAAAGTGAGAGGGGGAGGGAGACCGGAGATGACGAAGTGTGGGTCCTTGGCGCCCGCGTGGTGTAAAGCTAGCCTGCTCCTGAGTTTTAGAAATGATACATTCTTTCCTCATTAGGTTAACCTGGGTTTTTGTGGCTTGTAACCAAAAGGGTCTGCACGCTCCTCCACACAAGCTCCCAGCTCATTTCCTTTGCAATGAGCTACCGGTAACTGGAGGTGGGGGGCGGGGGCACATGGACCTACCTTGCAAGGTTTCTCTCTGTTAGTGCCTGGAGCCTATGCTCTCAGCCAGCACAGCCAGGGTGACACATCAGGCCAGGTGCGTCCTGGATCTGCCCCCTTTCTGGGTGCAAACCTGAACTGAGGATCCCAAGGCGGGGAACATTTCCTGCCTCAGGGCTGTGCCCCTGCTACCCCTCTGCCTAAAATTCTCCCCTCTCTGTGCTCCCGAGGCCAGCTCCTTCGTATGTACTGCAATTCTTTGAACAGCGCCTCCTCTGAGAAGCCTTCCCTGACCACCTGGCTGAGGACACCATTCTGTCCCAGCTTCCATTTGCTCTGGGAGTGGCCTCCTGACACTTCACTTCCATGAGGCAGAGACCAGCTGGGAGCAGGGAAAGTGTTGGGAGCTAACTAACCCCTATCAGCAGGTGGAACAGGTTTTGCTGCTCCAAAACAGGGTTCTAGCTATGGGGGTAGCCACTAGAGAGCAGAGCTAAGGGCATGCTAGGCTGAGAGTCCACAGTCCGCCCTGAACTGTGCCTCCCAGCCTGGAGCTAGTGAGGGGGCTGAATGTGGGAAAGGGGCTTGGTGTGGGGACTTTTGGAGGGGAGGTCATTTCTTGCTCTTATCATGGGAGCAACAGCTAGATGGGTGGGAGCACCCATTCAGGGACGTGCTGCGGGTTCAAGCTTTGACCAGCCCAGAACACTCATTTCATTTGAGGGTCTTGATATCAGGGTGTAGCGCCAGGAGCCGGAGCCTATGGTTTGAAAGCCAAGAGTGGGCAATCGAAGCTGAAACCAGGCCCGTGACTTAGGAGCTGGAGAGCACACAGGGCTGAACACATGACTTGGGGACCAGGAAGCCAGGGAGCAAAGTCTCCAGGGCGCTCAAGCAAAGCCCTAGATGGTCTGCAGGCAACACGGGGTGATGAGCGCAGCGTGGTGAAAAACACATCTCCTTCCTCAGGGCAACGTTTTCCAGTCCTTCTGAGAAAATCAAAAAGCAGTCTCAGCTTGGTGATTGCAGGTCTCTATGCCTACTTCTCTCTCACGCCCTCTCTTTTAACAAAAGTCTATCAGCAGCCTCAGGCCCAGGACACGCCTCAGGTAAAAGCCTGTTAGGTGTAATAACAGTGAGCGGTTTGGTTGTGTTTATTTTTATAGCTACTTTCTAATGATGGCAAGTGATTGTGAGTTTCCATTTAGGGTAGTAATAGGAGTTTCTTTTTCAAGTAAATGTGCATAAGTCAAAGGAGACTGCTGAAAGGAAAATGGCACGTGGTTAACAGACCAGGCTGCGGCATTGTTGGGCCGCAGAAGGAAGGGGTGTGGGCCACACAGGAAGTTCTGGAAAAACAGCTGAATGCAGCTGCTGCCTGCAGGCCAGGGAGCATCTGGAGGCATGACTGGGCACAGCTTGGATTTTGAGCCCAAGAGAGGCCCGCTGGGGACGTGTTGGGAGCCAACCTACCCCTACTGGCAGGTGGAACGGGTTTGGTTGCTCCAAAAGAGAGTTCCAGCTATGGGGACAGTCACTAGAGAGCAGAGCTAAGGGCATGCTAGGCCGAGGGGCCATAGTCCGCCCTGAACTGTGCCTCCCAGCCTGGAGCCAGGAAGCTCAGGGAGGCCAGTGGCCCTGTCCAGGCCTTAGTACTGACCCTGCACCCCCAGCCCCAGCTGGGTGACCCCCAAGGCCTTCCTGGAATTTGAATGCAGGGTTGTTCTGTGTGTGCTGCCTCTGAGAGCATGTCACTTTGACGTGGACATATCAGGTCTGGTGCTGTCCCTGTCTCACCCTGTGGCCCTGGGTGAGTCACCTCGCCAGCCCTTGATTTCCCCACCTGTAAACAGAGATGAGTGAAATGACCTTTAAGGGCCATGTCAGCCCATTCTGCATTGCTTTAAAGGAATACCTGAGGCTAGGTCACTTAGAAAGGAAAAAGAGTTCTTTGGCTCACGATTGTACAGGTTGTACAAGAAGCATGGCGCTGGCACTGCTTCTGGTAAAGCCTCAGGAAGCTTCCGCTCACGGTGGAAGGGGAGGGGGAGCTCGTGTCTCACATGGCAAAAAAGGGAGCAACAGCAACGTCAGGCTCTTCTAAACAACCAGCTCTCGGGGGAAGGCACCAAGCTATCCGCAAGGGATCTGCCCCCATGACCCACACACCTCCAACACCGGGGGTCACATTCAGCATGACATTGGAGGTGACAACCATACATCCAAACCATATCAAGGACCCATTTTGGTGAGGACACCAGGGACCTATCCCTTCCCCTCTCCGCCACATCCTTTAACGTGGGGCTCAGCAAGGAAGGTAGTGCTTGGGTCAAATTAAAGCCTGGGCTCCATTTCCTGCTCCTGTTACGTAGCCCAGGCTGGAGTGCAGTGGCGCCATCTTGGCTCACTGCAACGTCAGCCTCCCAGGTCCTGGTTCAAGCAGTTCTCCTGCTTCAGACCTCTGAATAGCTGGGATTACAGGCACATGCCACCATGCCCAGCTAATTTTTGTATTTTTAGTAGAGACGGAGCTTCACCATGTTGCCCAGGCTGGTCTTGAACTCCTGACCTCGTGATCCATGTGCCTCAGCCTCCCAAAGTGCTAGGATTACAGGTGTGAGGCCCGTGCCTGGCCTAGGGCATATATTTAAGGGCGGCATTACAACCCTGGACAAGTCACTTAACCCCCGCAGGTTACAATGTTACAAATGATTCCATTTTCCTCAACTGTACAATGGGATAGGAACATGTCCTGAGCAGAGCTGGACTGATGGCCCGGCAGTGCCTGGCCACACAGTAGGCCTGGGGAGCCCTGACTGTTACTGCGCAGGGAGCTGCTTTCAGAGCTTGTTTTCAACATGGGCTTGGCAGGGACCTGCCGGCATCCCAGGGGACAGGATCTCATGAGGATGCCTAATCCCAGCCCAGAGAGGAGACCCCAGGACTCTATCACTGCCAGTGGGGGGAGTGGCTGCTGGATCCGGGCTTCGTTGGAATAAACTCCTTCAAGCTCCAGGCCAAACGCCCAGAGTGGGTTTGCAGGTATGGTTGTGAGGCTGGCATGGCGCTCCCATCTGCAGTCCCTTGGGATGGGGCACCTATATGGGAGAGACGATGATGATGGGGATGAATCCAGGACCACAGACAGACCAGTTCAATGGATGATTTTCATCGAGGTGCCTTTAAGTCAGTTCAACATGGCTTTGCAGCCTTTCAGGTGTGCAGGTAGGAGTTACCTGCGGCAGTGGGGGATGCTCTTGTTAAAGTGCAGACTTGGATTCAGCAGGTCCAGGGTGGGGTCTGAAATCCTGTGTTCCTAACAAGGCCTCATCATGGATGTGGAGGGCAGGTACCTCACCTCTCCTGTGGACCCCGCTTTTGAGAAGTCAGGAGAAGTTTCAGTCCCAGCTGCCACCACTCCAAAGTCCCCTAGAAACAAAGTCCTAATACAGATGGCATGGGAGAAGACCCAGGCAAACAGGGAGGTGGAGAACCCTGGTGGGGCTGCAGTGGGCCCTGAGGAAAGCTTGCTGGAGAAGTGGGCCGGAGGGATTCAAGAACTTGTTCCAGGAACCCAAGGAATGTGTGGGCCCTAACTGCTGCAGCATATGAGAGATGCCAGGAGGAGCTGGCTGTGGTGGGCCATCCCAGGCCATCAGACAACTTGTAGTGGGTGAAGACGCAATGTGCATGGCCAGAAGAAACTCCCATGGACCCTCAGGTTAAGGCTGCGGGAAGCATGAGGAAGGGCAGCACTGAGAGTCATCGGGAAGAGGCAAGGTGATGGTCCTGACGCCACCCTGTGTGGCCAGTCCCTTTTGGGAAAGCTGAATAAGTCCATTTCCTGTTCACTGTGCGGGAAGCCAGCCCCTCTTCAGAGGTACTGATGGGGAGCCTTCCGTGTGATTCTGTAGGCTCCTTTACTCCCATATACGTATTTTCTCTCTCTGCACACACACACGCAGGCGTGCGCACACACACATGTCCTGCACCCATCTTATCTATGTCTGATTTTGAGATGCACTTTTTTTTTTTTTTTCCACATTTCAGCATCTCTGAACTCAATGGCATCCTACACTCCTTATTGGCCTGGCTTGATGCTGACATCCTTCAGCCCCAGGAAATGCCTGAAGATCTCCAGGTCTTGAGGCACTTGGAACACCTCTGCCTGAGACCACTTTAACATGATTCCTCTGCTTGAGGAATTTTGGACCAGGCTGTGTGTATTCAGCCCCAAAACATGGGTGAGCGCCAGCCTGCAGTTCAAATTCTCAGGGGAAGTTCCCAGTCCTCCGCCCAGTGCCAAGTTTGATTCATGTGAATTTCCTTAATGTCCCCTCCTGTACAACAGGTTTATTCGGTGTTAGCCCTTACACCGGTTTCTGACTCTTTGGTTTCCAATTTCCTCTGGAATATGCCATTAAACTGTCCGTGTTGGGTATTTTTTCTATTTAGTAAATATTTGGTGCATCTTAGAGTTGATAGCATTTTAGATTTGAAGAAGTAACTGGCAAAATCAATAAAATCTGTTTCATCATCACAAATAGAGTAACAGTTCTTTAATTTTTCCATTTAATACTTTAATTTTCCATAGGCCCAGCTTTTCAAGAAGTCCAATATCTCCCAGTTCAAGTGTCTTTTCCCTGGAGTAGATTGGGAGACTTGAGGGATATCTGTTCCAAGACACCTGCTTCCAACCTCCCATCTAGCCTGCTGGAGTGCCTATAGTTGTTACCACAAGGCGTCGCTGTTGAACAGATTCTGGTGCGGTCTGGTGCATGCTTGTCCACCTCTAGAGTGATCACTTGCTGGGCCAAGTTCCTCCCCTTAAGTGGTGGCTCACATTAACGTTCCCAAGTTACAGCCTTTTAAATTCACGCTAATAAATGCATCCAGGCTCTTTAGGTCTTTAGGAGATTCCAGCCTCAAACACACATTGGGCCAAAACCTGCCTGTACCACCAGCTCCAAGCCCCATGTTGAATCTGGGTCATTGATCCAGATGCCCCTTCATTCTGGGCCTGTGGTGTCCTTTCCAGACAGTGGACCTCAGTCAAGGGCATCCCAACCCACCAGACAGGTTCCAGGATCACAGACCCTCAAAAGGGGCAGTGTTGAGGATTCAGTCTGTTTTCTACCCAGAAGCCCCATTAAGTATGTTGTATCACCTCCTCCCAGGGCTGTGTCTACATAACCCAGGGAAGCCATTATGGAACAGCTGCCTTATGAATGGAAATCTACACCTAGACAATGTGCTATGCCATCCCAGCCAGAAAAAATGGTTGACAACTTCCCTTGCCAAAAGTGCCTTGTATCATAAAATCTTATGCCATTATTGCTTTCTGAAAGGCTCAGGATCCTACCACCCTTCAAAGGATGGCATACAACTCCCACCGTGTGTGTGTGTGTGTGTGTGTGTGTGTGTGTGTGTGTAGAGGCTGTTCTTGAGGGCAATAGGTGAGCTTTTGTTTTGCTGTGTCAGGTCTACATGGTAAAGGAGAAAGGCTAGAATATTAGGATAGTATTAGGATAATGGATGGGAATATTTTAAAGCAATTCTGAGGTGGAAGGAACAGAGAGAAAAGCCTTGGAACAGCTGGAGAAAACTGTCTTCAAGGAAATGGACTAAGCTTTGTCTGGAATGTGCTAGGTAAACTTCTCCTCTAGCTTCCCATGAAGATACTGGTGAGGTGGACACTGCTCTGCAGGGTTTTGTCAGCTGGGTTTTTGTTTTGGAGATGAAGTGACCCTGGCATCAAGGGGACATGGGACACAAGCAGAGGCTTCCAAGATACCCCAGGAGCACCTCTGTTCCATACAGATGGGGAAATGGAGGACCAGAGGAGGGGCTTGTCCAAAGTCACCTAGTGAGTTAGAGCCCTCAATGCTTTTCCCATTAAAAATGAACCCCAGGCCACGGGCAGTGGCTCACACCTGTAGTTTGAGACCAGCCTGGCCAACAGAGAGACCCTGTCTCTTCAAAAAAATTAAAACATTAGCCTGGTGTGGTGGTGTGCACCTGTAGTCCCAGCTACTTGGGAGGCTGGGATGGGAGGATCGCTTGTGCCCAGGAGTTAGAGGCTGCAGTGAGCCATAATTGAACCACTGCACTCCAGACTGGGTGACAGAACAAGACTATCTCAAATACCAAAAAAGAATAGGAAAAAGAAAAAAAAAAAAAAAAAAAGAAGAAGCCCAAACAGCCCACCGTGAGCCATGGTGGCCCCAAATCTCCAGCGTCCCTGCGGGGTCCCAGGCCGGCTCAGTGGAGGTATTCCCGCACAGTGAGCTCCTTCAGGGTGATGCCGCGGGGCATGGGCCTCCGGAGCTGGCTCTCCTCCAGCCTCTCCTGCAGAGACACGAAGTCCTTGCCCAGCGCATAGGCCAGGCGGACCATGGCGTCCAGCAGAGGCGCGTAGTAGCGATGGCCCTCCCGGGCCTGCAGGCGCTGCAGGGCCCTCTCTCCGGCCGCGAAGGCCTCGGCGGGGCGGTCCAGGTCGCGGTGGCACAGCAGCACGGCGCACAGGGCCGGGACGGCGGCCGCGGGGCAGTGGGCGGTGAGCTTCTCCTGCAGCGGCAGCACGCGCAGCAGCAGCTCCAGGGCGCGCGGGTACTGGCCGGCGCGCAGGCAGCCGAAGGCCTCGCGCAGCTCCGGCCGCGTGAGGAAGTCCAGGAACTCCCGGGAGCGGCGCACGCAGCGGATGGCGTAGAGCAGGCCCAGGTAGTCCTGCAGCGCGCGCCGGCGCTCGCAGATGATCTCCTCCGCGAAGTTCCCGGTCAGGTGCTTCCTGGGGAACTCCACGTCTTCGATCTCCTCCCTGAACGTCTTCAGCAGCGCCTTCTGGAGCTTCGCGAAGTCGGAATAGCGCCGTTCCAGGACTGCCTTGTTGTTGTCAAAGCTCCCGGTCTGGATGACGATGATCTGGTACACCTAGGGCGCAACGCAGAGAGAGCTGTGGACACCTCCCAGCGGGGGCTGCGGTGGACGGAGCGCCCCGAGAATAAAATTAACCAGGCCGGTGTAAAGCATGCCCTAAAAACGGGCGATCCTTATATGCAATTCTATGTATGTATGTATGTATGTATGTATGTATGTATTTATATTTAGAGACAGGGGCTCGCACTGTCACCTCGGCTGGAGTACAGTAATGCGATCATAGCTCACTGCAACCTTGAACTTCTGGGTTCAAGTGATCCGCCCACTTCAGCCTCCCGAGTAGCTGGGACTACAGGCACACCCACTGTCCGGCTGATTTTTTGATTTTTATAAAGATATGGGGTCTGGCTGTGTTGCCTAGGCTGATCTTGAACTCCTGGGCTCAAGCGATCCTCCTACCTGGGCCTCCAAAATGCTGGAATTACAGGCCTGAGTCACTGCACCTGGCCCAATTCTGGTTTAAATTGCTATTGGCATCAGCTGAGTCAACCCTGGAACAACAGCACAGCAAGGTGGGGACATCCGGGAGGAGAAAGGGCACAGGGACCTGGCCTGCAGGCTGCTGGGGTCCCTCTTGGCTTTACTTGCTAAAACTGGGCCTCCATTTTCTGAACTAGGATGCTGTGTTTTCCAAATGTTTCACACTTGGGAATTAGTTTTAGGTACAATATAACATCATTTAGGTTCACCAGTGATGGCGTTATATGGTAAGAAAATCATTCCTTTTCAATTCTCTTTCAAGAGAATCCTGATTAAGGGCAATTATACATTAAGGGCAATTATAACCCATGCATCTGACTCCAGAGCCAGATTGCATATAATTATAGCCCCACCATGGTCTAGCTGTGTGGTTTTAGATTGGTAATTTAACCTCTCTGAGCCTCAGTTTTCTCATTCATAAAATGAGGACAGGCATAGTGCCTACCTCACCCAGTGAGGATTAAATGAGATAGTGCACTGAAACCACATGGAGTTGTGCCCAGCATGCCACTGGCATTCAGCGGTAGCTTTGTTATTATCCTGGACCCAGGTAAGTGAAGGAGAAGGATGAAGTGCGGCTCTAAGGACGTCTTGAACATCTCCTTAACACAGGCTAAAATTCCAGTCTAACAGGGAGAGCGGCCCCTAGGCTCAGGGCCTGCCCGAAGCCACAGTACCCAGCTACAATTTAATAACAGCAGGTAGCTTTCCTTGTATTGACTGACCTTTCTAGTATGACTTTTCTAGTTACTTTTCTTTATGCCATGTGATGTTGGTTTTCCATTTAAGGTATTTCTCTTTGAAATATCTTGTGTTTTGAAAAAGTGATCCAATTGAAAGAAAAAATAATAATTATAATGGATACAGGGATATGGCAAAATTGGTGAAGAAAGGATACAGGTGACCCACACCTGATATGGGATTAAACTGGACTATTTCCTTCTTAGGACCAAGAAGCATGAGTCATATGGTTGGAATCCTCACAGACGCTAGCAGGTACTGAGCCTGAAGTCTTGCTCTTTGGCCATTTTCTCCGGAAGAACACTGTGAGTTAGAGTGTGTCGACCCATTTCATAGTTGGGAAAGCTAAGGCCCCACATGATTTGTTCAGGGACAGGAAGGAAGCAGAGTGAAAGAGGTGCTGCCATTTCCCGATCTTTGCTTACCACAAACTTAGAGACTTTTCTCTCCTCGATGCGAGCTGAAGCGATCTCAAAGAGCAGTTTGACATGCTTCCAATGGCATTTCTCCTTCTGCCAGTACTGCTGAAGCTCCCTCGTGGTCATGCTGGAGTTGGAGCTCAGGCCGCTGTGCGTGTCTGGAAGGACAGCACCCTTAAGGATCTGCACCCGGTCAGTGCACTTTGGAGGCAAGGGCTTGGGGAGATGGCTGGGTGGATCTGAGATGGGATATCGGAACTCCTAAAGAGTGCTGAATATCTTTCACTCCCACCCCACCATTTATAGGCCCAAGCGGGGCATCAGGCAGACCTCTGTGTCCAGCCTGGCTGAATCCACCCTACAACTGACAATCTCAAATAGCCCATCATCCCCAAGTGGTTTCTCAGCTGTGAAATGCGGTGCAGGCACTTTGCATCGTCCACTTTTGGTCTGTGAATTGGCCTTGGTGAAATCCCTGCTGCCGACAAGCAGAGACGGTGGCTTGTGTGTTTCTGAGCTCCCTGCAGCCCTGACTTCATGACTGTCTCCAGGACTTCTTGAACACACATCGGTGGGTGGGGGGAGGGGTGGTGGGTAGTGATGAGGATGTTCAGCCTCAGCGGGTTAGATAGTTAGATAGTTAGATAGCAGTTAGATAGTTCCCATCTAACTGCCCACGTGCCAGGCTCCTCTCAGACACGCACTCCTCTGCTTTGCATCCAACCCTCTATTTCCATGCCTGGAAAACGAACACAGTGTTTCTTAAACTCCACTCGAGCCCTGCGCCTCTCTGAGCTTCTTGAGAAGTGCAAATAATTGTGCATTTTATTGCAAAGGGCATGGGTCCCAGCTCTTTTCCAGTCCACCCTTCAAGACCCAACCCCCGCATCACTGCAAATGCCCCTTGGCATTAGAGTAAGAGCCTCCCACCTTGCTCCTGTAGCCTCTTTTGTGGCACGTCTAACTATTTCTCACTGATCTGTTTCTCTGCCAAACCTCAGGGCCAGTGCGGTGTTTGATTTGTTCTGTTCCTGCTTCCGCAGTGCCCTGCATAGGGCTGGGAACAGAGCAGGTGTTCAATAGGGGAATCTTGAAGGATTGTAAGAAAAGTTCCAGGAGATGGAGCTACAGCAGATGCTGTCCATGCCCATGGCTGGGCCATGCCCTCTTGGCACTCACTTTTCCAAAACATGCTACTGGCTTCCCTGAAGCCTTTCTAGGGCTATAGCAGCAGACCCAGGAGCGTCCCTTCTCTGATGCAGGGCAGGACTGGTAGATAACAGCCTGGCTTCCTCACCCCTGGGATAGGACAACCCAAAGATATATTCCAGGGTCTCCCAGAAGACCTCTGCTGGCGTTGGGCCCCAGCCACCTACCGTGCCCATCTGTTTGCTGATGCCCTGCACTGGCCTCCTGCCCTGCCCTTCCTTGATTGCCCACTCTCCTGCTGTGACCCCTAGGACCATCTCCCAGATAAATAGCTTGCACAGATCTGTGTCTCAGTGTCTGCTTTGGGATAACCCAAGTTACAAGAGCTGCCCAGGCCTCTTGCTGCATCCGCCAAAGTGACCCACATTTGTATTTTGAATGTCTTCCGACATCTCCCCTGGACCGAGTCTCAAGCCTCAAGCCCACCTAAGTGCCCATCAGATCCTGGGTGCAGGAGGTCAGGGCCAGTGGCCGGTGCTTCCTGCTTGGTCCTTGCAGTGCACTGGGTTATGGGTCCCGTCCAGCCAGGGCTCCCAGGGTGCTCTGGACTTGCCATGCTCCAAGTCTGCCAGAGAAACAAGAGAACAGTGAGTACCCCCTCCAACTGGGGTTCCCATTGGCTCCTGGAGTGCCTAGGAGCTGTGTCATGCCCCCTGCTGGCAGGCAGATGGAATGACAATGGCCCCACGGCTGAACCTTCCTGGCTCTCCCAGCTGCCAGATCCCAAACCTAGGTCTGCCCCTTTGCTGGGCAGCAAGGCAGAGAAGACCCTTCGCCTACTGTGATGATACATGTGTTATTGAGGTGGTTTTAAATGAGATGATTTCAAGCAAAAGCATTGGCTTTAGCGATTACTTGAGAGAAAGATGCTGGCTTGTCCAGATACTCAGTTTTATGTTACACATGTGAATGATGTCTCAGTGTTCAGGCTGGCCATGGTGGCTCATGCCTATAATCCCAGAACTTTGGGAGGCAGAGTCAGGAGGATCACTTGAGCCTGGGAATTTCAGACCCACCTGTGCAATGTAGTGAGACCCCGTCTCTAGAAAAAATTTTAAAAAATTATCCAGGGGTGGTGGTGCACGCCTGTGGTCCCAACTACTTAGGAGACTGAGGCAGGAGGATTCCTTAAGCCCAAGAGACTGAGGCTGCAGTGAGCTATGATGACGCCACTGCACTCCAGTCTGGGTGAC